GCAAGTAAAAGTTATTGACTTTAAATTTTTTGGTAATGTTTCATTTAATACTGTCAATATTTTATCAAAATCTATACATCCAGGATATTTATCAAATGTAATACTTTTTAATTTAATGCAATTATTAAATACTTCCATTGATTCCTGGTCTAATTCATCCTTATATATTATAGATAAATCTTCTAAATTTTTACAATATTGTGCAATTGATTGAAATATCTTTCTCAAGAATTCATCATTATAACCACCAATAACATACAGATTTTTAAGATTTTTTCCATTGATATTAATAAAATCAGATAAGTCTGATATTGATGATTGATGAGTAATATATAACTTCACAGATTCAATATTTGGCAGTGAAATATTTTTCAAATTTATCATATTTCTATCAGAATAAATTGATAATTCTAAAGTTTTTAAATTTTTAAAAGTTGGTAATAAGAAATTATCAAAATTATCTACATTGCCACGAGATTCATAAAAAATTATTGATTGTGAATGTGTTAATATTGCTTTCCTTAATTCATCTGGTAACATTGATGATTTAATGGTTAAATATTTAATTTGCTCTTGTGCTTTAATTAGCTGTGCTAAATTATATATACTTTTGTCATTACTATTGCAATATACTCTTAATGATTGAATATTTTTACAAATATTTGCTAATTTGTCAAAAAATTTACCACTATCAGAACTATTACAATATATTTCATAAAGATTCTGAAAACAATTATCAAATCTATGATGATTAATTAATAGATTACAATCTGTGTAATAAAAAGCAAACTTTCTAATACCTGCTGAATGATCTAAAATAAAGTTTCTTAATTTATTTTTTAAAATTTGATTTAATTCTCTACTTTTTGCCAGGCATTGAAGATCATAACAATCATAAAGTATAGTACAAAATCTGGCATAATTGTATAATGGTGGTTTTTCCAATAGTTCAGATGTTAATTCAATGCAATTTCTAGTTAAGAAATCCTTGTCTTCTTCTAATACACAATTAATTAATATTTTGGTGCTGTTGTCACAAACGAATGGATTCTTCCATAAAGTTGGAATATTTATATTGTGCCATTTTTTGTTGACAAGAATACAAGAATATAATGCTTGGTAATCATCTTCAATGTATTTGAATATTTCAGTCAGAAGTTCATCTGGAAAACTAATTATTCCAAACATTTTTTTTAAAAGTAATTTGTTTGTTGCACAATGTAAATTAAAAAAAAATTTATTTTGGAGCTAAATTTTATGACGATCTCCCTTCCAAATTAATTGGAAAAAAAATATTAATATTAATCATGATAAACGGTGTATAAATTTTGGTATGTAATCTCCACATTGAATTCTATATATACACTGATGATAATAAATAATAATTGATTAATATATTTACCAAAAAAGTAATTAATTATACCTAAATTAAACATGCCAGCCAAAATTGCCTCTCTTAATAAATTATCATCACCGAATTCGAAATGCTAAATAGTTTTTCATAGTTGCCGAAATCAACTTTATTATTTGTCAAAATTATATCCGAAACTATTTGAACACTTTAGCTCAATGACCGAAATTCTGAGTAATTTTTTTATGTCTATTGATATAAAGAATATTGTAAATCCAAAATTGTTTGCCAAAATTAATTTTAGTATCAGCTGTTGATAGC